CCCACGATAGGTGAAGTTAAGGATGCTATCCGACAGCTTAAGAACAACAAAGCAGCTGGGAAAGATGGGATCGGAGCGGAACTTATCAAAATGGGCCCGGATAAGTTGGCCTCTTGTCTGCACTGACTGATAGTCAGGATCTGGGATACATAACAGCTGCCGGAGGAGTGGAAAGAGGGAGTAATATGTTAAGACACGGCCTACAAAGCGCTTTCCCAGATCATCTTTCGCCGTTTATAGCCGCTAGCAAGCAGATTTGTGGGAAGTTATCAAGCCGGTTTTGTAGACGGGCGATCGACAACGGACCAAATCTTTACGTTGGGTCAGATCCTCCAAAAGTGTCGTGAATATCAATACGCACCACCTATTTATCGATTTCAAGGCCGCTTATGATTCTATTGACCGCGAAGAGCTATGGAAGATTATGGACGAGAACAGTTTTCCCGGGAAGGGGGCTACGATGGATGGTGTACAGTGCTGCGTGAAGATATCGGGTACGTTATCGGACTCGTTTGAAACTCGCAAAGGACTTCGACAAGGCGATGGTTTTTCCTGCCTCCTGTTCAACATTCCGCTAGGAAGTGTTATGAAACGTGTGGGGCACGATCTTCAATAAGTCCAGCCAGTTCATCTGCTTCGCTGACGACGTGTACATTGTCGGAAGAACGTTTCGGGCCGTGGCGGAGCAGTACACCAGGATGAAACGTAAAGCAGAGAAGGTTGGATTAAAGGTGAATACGTCGAAGACAAAGTATCTGTTGGCTGGAGGAACCGAGCGGGATAGGGCTCGCATAGGCAGAAGCGTTACAATCGACGGAGACGAGTTCGTGGTGGTGGATGAGTTTGTGTACCTCGGATCATTGGTGGCGTCGGATAACAACTGCAGCAGAGAAATTCGTCGGCGTATTATTGCCGGAAGTCGTGCTTACTACGGACTCAACAAGACCCTGAGGTCGGGTAAACTTCACCTCCGTACTAATGTACCATGTACAAGACGCTGATAAGACCGGTAGTTCTCTACGATCACGAGACGTGGACGATGCTCGAGGAGGACCTGCAAGCACTGGGTGTTTAGGACCATCTTTGGCGGGGTATGTGAGAACGCTGTATGGAGGCGAAGGATGAACCACGAGCTGGCGCAACTCTATGGCCAACCCTGTATCCAGAAAGTGGCGAAAGCTAGACGGGACACATTTTAAGAATGCCGGACAACAATCCCGTAAAAATGGTGTTTGCCTCGAATCCGGCCGGTACAAGACGAAGAGGAGAACAGCAATCCTGAGGGATTTCGGACCAGGATAAGTAAGTAACATAAAAAACCTTTCGGAAATCTTCAAATCGAAAATGTCAGAGATCAAAGTAGGCCGAACTAGAAAACTGAACTTTTCGGGAACTCCTGAATCGGGAAACTCCTTTAATTGGTGATGGGAAATTGTGAAGTTTATCGAATCGGGAATCCATCGGTTTCAATCGGAAACGCAGCCTGCGGCTAACTTGAAAGCGTTCTGAGCACGCGATGCTGTTGGCTGGATTGGAGCCCGACTCACTTTTCACTATAGTGCAGGAACCCTAAAGTAGATAAAGCGGGTCAAAGTCGTTTTCATTTACTTGTGTGCAATTCGTATAGAATTTTCCACTCGCTTTCTACCCAAAAGTAAGTTAGTTGTACCCAAAAGTAGGTAAATATGATTCTACTCAACGTTGGGTTCCCACCCTTTACTACCCCTGTTGGGTGGTTTTACTCCTCCGTTGTTGACAACATTAGAAGGAGAAAAGGAGACAAACTAGTCAAAAGTAGGTAAAAGTGAACTGGCCGTTGTGTATTTATTTCTTACCGTGTACTTTTTCACTCATTGAATTGACGTTTCATTGTAGGGGGGTTCTGTTTCTGTCACGTGTATCGATGTGATGTCTCCACAGATGTATTATATTATGAGCTATCCATAGCAGCTGAAACTCGTATTTACATTATTTTATGTCAAAGCTCAATTGCGTTAGCTTTGCGGAGCCGTAAGTCAAGGTACATTACCACGATTTCAAACAACTAGTTAAAAAAGGGGGTCGAATGCTTGCGGCTGCCGAAACTCGTAGATTGATTTGATATTGAAAAAGAAACTTGTACGTTAACTGGAAAGATAAATAAATACATTTTGACCGGAATGGCCACTTATGAATCATCAAGATTAATTTGACGGATAGTACATTTTTATATTTCACACTGCATAGCACATCACTTTGTCAAATTAATTACAAATTATCTAATAATTTATCAAAATGCCCCACAATGAAGCGAATAGAATTTACGCTAAAACACCACCAACTATTTGACAACCCCAAGCATAAATCATCAACTAATGGGCCCAGGGTAAACACATTGATGCTCTACTACACAATACTCCCCCCTTGATCAGCAAATAGCACCCAATTTTCCAGTTACCGTTCATAACCTAAATTAAACACCACCGTTCGCCATCACTCATTGTATTGTGTATGTATTTACTATACAAACCACCTTTCGAAAGCCCAACATAATCAAATGCACCTGAGCGCCATCTACACGGCACGAACTCGGGGGCTCGGCTAATAATAGATGACCGGTTTTGACTAACGTTCCGCATTTTTATTTATTCACCGCCCTTTTTTTTGTGGGTCTGCCGTCCCCGTGGTGCAGCCATTATTCGAGTTAAATTTTTAAACACCCACTATCCACAGCGGGGGGTCTTCTCGCATAGTTTGACCAACGGACGGCGGGCGGTTCAAGCGTTTCGGTTTCAGCCTTCGATTCATGCTGTGCTTGCTTTTGTCTGTTTACAAATATTCGCTTAAAATGACCGCCATCATAGCGCCGGCCGGGCCAGGACAGCGGGAATAATAGCTCTGGGATTTGTCTGAGTTGGTTCGAGGAGATTTTCCCGTCTTTCGTTGCGCTTGTCAAAAGACAGATAAGAGCAATTGCTCGGGTTTGAGCTATGACTATTCATTTTGTTTGACTATTCCCACCCGAGTGCCTCTTCCCCGTTCGCTTTTGTGTTTGTTGTCCTTCGGAAAGAAGAGTTATGACAAGTCTATGTTTTTCTCATCCTTTTTGTTTTTTTTTTCCTCCTCATATAGGTATATCGTGCTGGCCAGTTTGTAAAGCATTCCAAACATTCTGCTCTGGTTGGGATTGCAGAGAACGACCGGATCCAGCACTGCTTTGTCCGTATATCATATCCGACGGGAGCCGCAACGGATGAAATATGCAACAGCTAGGTTATGTTTAACCGATTTATGAAGATTGCATTACGTATTATGCTTTCCCATTATATTTATCTTGGTCGTCGGAATTAAAGCAAGGCTAGCTGTGTTGGACATGTTTGTATGAGATGAGACACATTTTTTTCTTTCAGAAAAGTAGGCTTGCAATATTTGAATTATGACCTTGGCCAAAATCTCGCTCGATTAAGGAAAACAACTGACTCTTAAAAGCATCATAAAGCTATATCAAGAATCAATATATTCTTACCATTCTCTATCATCAGCAGCAAAATGAACACCCATTTCTTTCATTTCTCGGACTAATGAGAAATAACAACTCAGCCACGATAGCCTAGTACGTTGAACTCATCGAATTGGCTGCATCCATGGTGAAGAACGTGGAAAAAACGCCAAGCGAATCGCAATAAATTTCAACGAATACAGACTTCACTTCTGTTCAAGAGCAAAGCGCGTCTGAAGGCATAATGGAGATTGAAGAGGTAGGATCTGATATCCTGAGGCGAAGCATATTGGCTAAGGCAATATCCCTGTATAACCTTCTCAGTGATGAGTACAAGTTCCTCGGAAAAATAGGCTGCCTAGGCAGTTTGTCTTCCCGAACGATTGCTTGAGCAACCTCGAGTGCCGTTAATGTTTCCCGGGAAAAAACATTTAATCACATTCAATTAGAAACCGTTGCGAGCAACTTTTTCGGAACCATCGAAGCGTGGGCCCTTTGATTGAATAGAATAGACCCGGGCAGTTTCGATTACTTTCGAATTGGATTAACAGTTCTGGCTAATTCCATTCCACGTCACTTGGAACGTCAATTAAATTCGATTGAAAAATTTCCACGCTCGGTAATGGCGGCATGCGCGGGGCTTAAAACGCATCGATCACTGTACTTTTTGACACTAACTGGCTGTCACAAATTGTTTTCATTTTCCTCTGTTCTTGCATGGCCAATGAGAATCACTCAGAGCGAGATTTACTTCTACTCAGTTGTATGAGCAATTTATAAAAACTGCTCACGACCAATGAGATCGACCCACAGTTATGAGTTCAGTTTACTCATGAATCCCGCGTAACAATTTAAAAGGGTCTATTTTTTGTAAATAAAAATATAGGGCCAACACGCTCGAAGTGAAGTACGCCCACACAAACTAACAATATTATCGGATAGGAGAAATTCTCCCCTACCCGATGGTGTTGTTGGTTTGCGTGGGTGTTCTTCGATTCGTGCGTATAGGCCCCAGCAAATTTTGTTTACAAGAGTTAATAGGCACTTTTAAAATGTTACTCGAGAAATCGCAAAAAAGCAGGAACTCAGCGATGAATAAATTTGGCTCATGTTTTCTAGTGGAAAACCTGAAAAATCTGTACCAATGAGAGAATCCAATCTTTACTTTTCGCTTATTCTTAATTTTTTTCCTAATAAAAAACCTGGAAAAACCTGATTTACTTGGCATGGCAAATTTACTCATCACTCAGCTCCTGCACTTTTTGCGATTTATGAGTAAACTGAACTCAAATTTGGATTGATTTGATTGGCCGTGCGGGTATTCAGTATAGGAGTACAAAGTCAACAAAATAATTTGATAATCTGGCAACACTGATCGGGACTGTAACTTTTTATCCCACGGTTCATAAAAAAAGGTAGGAGAACAAATTGTTTTTCTATTTTCAATTAATAATCGATTCACGCTGTGCATGACCGTGGCGAATGAATGAAATATCGAAATCAAACCTACGAACGTACTCACCCCAAGGTCCAGATAGGTGGTGTAGATTGGATACGGAAGCGCAATCACCATCCCGGACAGCCAGGAGGCACTACTGCACACGAACGCCGGCAGCCGGGCCTTCAGCGGATCCGTCAGCCAGCGCTTTCGGTCCCACGCTATCAACAGATGGGAAATCATGGCAACGTGCAGCGGGATGTCCTGAAAGAAGGAAAAAAAATCGAGGAAATAAACAGTCAGGGTAGAAACAACAAGCGGAAATCAAATTAATTTTCATTGATTTGTTTAGATTTACTCAGCTCTCTTTTGCTGACTTACACGCTCCAGCTATAGATAAACAACCAACACAGAGAAGGGGAAAAGCAACTGACAAATGGATTAGAAAATCACGCTGCCGGATCAGCGATTGGAAGCTGAAAATCTCGCTCTGGGCTATACGGTAGGTTAGTAAATAGCAAATGGGACGGGTGAAAGGTTGAAAATAGCATTTGAAAGGGGAAGACAAGAAGCACAGACAGCCCGGATTTATATAGTCTATAAATCCTTTCACTGTCAATAGAGATTAGGATGGTGCGACGACAAATCGATACCCGGGAAGGGATGGAATTAAAGGAGACCGGATAATGCCGGAGTAGATATTCACCGTGGAATGTGACAAGAATTTCTGTTTAAAATGCCGGGTTGATTATTGTTTGTTTTAATTCAAGAAGAATTTTGACATAGGATCTCTATGGTCCTCTTAACTCTAAGACTAGTAGGTCCCGAAGAATCGTGCTCAACTTTTTGGCTCAGCTCTGGTACTCCCTTCGGTCCCAAGCTAATCGATGCACCCCTCGAAACATAGGAAAATCCACGAACCCCTCACTTTATCTGTCAAACTTTCATAGCAAATCAAAACAAACATAGTGTAGTACTAGAATTTCGATTAGAATGGGGTACGTTAATCGATTTGCTTGTCACCAATAGGCTAGTCAAGTAGTGAGCCAATTTTAAATCGTTAGTTTCCATCGGTTGGGATAACGTCTTTCCGCAACATATTGGGGGTGTTATTTCAAAAAACCAAAATCGACCGCGTTACGAAAAGTGGTCAGGTTTTGGCCACTTATAACTCTGTCAATAGCGGATGGATTTAAATTCTGAATAACCGAAACGACTGGAAATTTTTCTACGAATCTGCTAAAATTAACACTCTATCAATTTTCAATAGGTCACTTTTGAAAATTATACAAATGTCCAACAGTTGCAATGGTGATCAAAATTATCACCGATTGCCTGCAAAAAGCGCTTTCCCTATCAAAGATTTCAAAATCGAATTCCATACGGTCTCGCCGAAAGATGGTTATTCAATCACCGTGTGTGGTGGTGTCCGGTTGGTCGTCATCAGCATCAGCAGCTGCAGTACACAACGAAAGGCTGCCCGGAGCTGCAGCCCACATGAGCGTCCATTCACCGAATGAGGAGAAAGAAGCCGCACCGCTACTGATCGGATTCAGTAGCTCTTCGTGAGCCGCAGTGGGCCATCTATGCCAAGCGCGTCACCCTCGTTCCAAACAACATACAGCTCGACATGAGATGATGTCTATCTCTTTCCGATTCATTAGTTAATATTAAAACCCAAATGTAAACCTTTGTAACATCAATCTATGGAAACCCAAGGATTTAGAAATAAAGAACAAGAACAGTCTTTTGTCAAACAGAGAGACGACCAAGGACAAAGTCACTTTCAATCGGAAATCGTCAAGCAACGACGATGCTGTCAACCACAACTTTCAATTGAAAGTCATTTTGTCTTCTCTTCGAGCAGATTCCCCTTCAACTTCAACAGAACCACTTTCGATCAGTTTTCATGCTGTTTGTTTTGGCTTGACTCGTGTTCACTTCGTCTTTCATTGTCAAATGAACTTACTTTCGCATTGAAGCGATGTTGTTCGATGCACATTCGCGCAGTTTTTCTCACTCGGTTCATTTAAGCGCATGAGCGCGCATAGATCTGTGAACGTGGATGTCAAATTTATCATTGTCGGGTGGATTGTTTACCCATCAATATGAGTATTTTTGAAATCGGAGTGACGTCTAGAGGCCGGAAATCGATTATCGATGCCATTTTGAAATCCAAAATGGCGGCTTCCAAATTCAGAAAAAGTGGGAAATACTGATGACGATTCTTCAATATGGGTATTTTTGGGATCAAAGTGACATCTGAAGAATGGAAATAGATATTCGACGCCATTTTCAAATCCAATATGGTGGCTTTCGATTCAAGAAACTGTGGGAAATACTGTCAAAATATGAGTATTTTTTAAAACGGAAGACGTCTGAAAATCAATATTCGACGCCCTTTTTTAAATCCAAGATGGCGGATTCCAGTTTAAGAAAAGTGAAAAATACTGTCGAATACCCATCAATGTAGGTATTTTTGGAATCGGAATGATATCTAGAGAATGAAAAACAATAGTCAACCCCATTTTGAAATCCAAGATGGTGACTTCCGATTTAAGAAAAGAGGTAAATACTGATGTCGACCCATGAATATGGTCATTTTTAAAATCGGAATGACAGATACAGAGACACTATAGGTTTTACAAATCGTCCAGGACATCAGTTAATTTGTCTACTAGATCAACCAAGACTGCAACAATGTCTGTAGTATCGAAAAATGTTCAATCAGATTCAAAGCGTCTCTGTGGATCATGCATGATCTATTTCCATGTAATCCAGATGTTCAAGGTTCTTCAAATCGTCCTGGAGTTCAGATAATTTTATCTACTAGATGAACCGAGATTGGGACAATGTCTTTAGTATCGGAATATTTCCAGACAGATGCACAGTGTCTATATGGATCATTAGACTGATGCAAATTTGACTTTTTCGCTCCACAGTGCTTAAATGGTTTCAAATCGGGTCCTGATTAGCCTCCCAAAGTTACAAATTAATTGGTTAGAAACAGACTTCGCACAAGCCATTTGAAGTTTACATGTAAATTACTATGGCAAATCTCAACTTTTTGTTCATTGCCTTCTAGTCTTTTTCTATATTGAGCTGCGAAACCGTTCGATAGCCATTCTTATAGAAAATTTTCTCAGCTATAACTTTGCTGAAGATCGTTTCCATGTAAAACGAGACAGGAAAAAGTTATTAATTATTTAAGAGATTGGTAAACTTATGACATGATCTAGCAGCTGCTCTATAGGCAACACTGTATTTTGCAGTGTGACATAGTAGCCATGATTTTTGTGTCCTATTCAACGCCCCAGAAACACCAATGTTGAGCATGATCATAAGACATCAGCGCATTGAACCATTGATAACTTTCGATCCTTGCATTTAATCAAAAAGTAGTCTTCAGCAAAGTTGTAGCTGGGAACAGTTGAAAGCTTTTGTAGCAGACCAATATGGTGAATTATTATATAGACATGAACAAAAATCTTGGTTTTCCCATAGTAATTCCCATACAAACTTCAAATGGTTTGTGCCATCTCAGTTTCTCACCAAATGGGTTCAAATTTTGAGAGGTTAGTCAGGATCCGATTTGGAATCGTTTAAGTATTGTGGAGCGAACATTTCAAATTTTGCTTCACTCTAATGGATCATGCATGAACTATTGTCATGTATACCAGATGTTTTAAGTTCTCCAAATCTTTCTGGAGTTCAGATGATTTATTCTACTAGATCAACCATGACTGGGATAAAGTCTGTAGAATCGAAATATGTTCTCCAAATCGTCCTGCAGTTCAGATTATTTGTGTTACTAGATCAACAAAGACTAGAATAATATCTGTAGTATCGAAATATCGATTTGGAAATAGGTTGGCATGATCCACATAGACACTGCAAATCTAATTAATCTTGGGTGATCTAGTAGAAAAATAATCTGAATAGAATGATTTCAGAACCTATAACATCTTGTATGCGTAGCAATAGGTCGGGTACAATTCACATAGACACTTAGAATCTGTTTGGACATATTTCGATACTACAGACATTATTGCAGTCTTGGTTGATATAGTAGAACAAATAAACTGAACTCAAGGACGATTTGGATAACCTAGAATATCCGGTATACATGGCAATTACTCGCATATATACGACTAGCTGAGTGTGCCCGGTCTTGCTCGGGATTCAATATTAGCTTGAGTTTATGCGCCGATTTAAAAAAAAAGCATACTATATTGTACGTAGCCCCCCCTCCTCTATTATCTAAGGGGCTACCCCCTATGATTATCTCATTATACCCCCACACTCACCCCCACATGCCTAATTTGGTTCCATTTGCTTGATTAGGTCTCGAGTTATGCAGAAATTTCTGTTTCATTTGTATGGGAGCCCCCCCTTACAGAAGGGGGAGGGGTCTCGAACCATCATAAGAACCTTCCACGGCCCCAAAAACCCCTGTATACAAGTTTTCACGCCAATCGGTTCAGTAGTTTCCGACACAGACAGACAGACAGACAGACAGACAGACAGACAGACAGACAGACAGACAGACAGACAGACAGACAGACAGACAGACAGACAGACAGACAGACAGACAGACAGACAGACAGACAGACAGACAGACAGACAGACAGACAGACAGACAGACAGACAGACAGACAGACAGACAGACAGACAGACAGACAGACAGACAGACAGACAGACAGACAGACAGACAGACAGACAGACAGACAGACAGACAGACAGACAGACAGACAGACAGACAGACAGACAGACAGACAGACAGACAGACAGACAGACAGACAGACAGACAGACAGACAGACAGACAGACAGACAGACAGACAGACAGACAGACAGACAGACAGACAGACAGACAGACAGACAGACAGACAGACAGACAGACAGACAGACAGACAGACAGACAGACAGACAGACAGACAGACAGACAGACAGACAGACAGACAGACAGACAGACAGACAGACAGACAGACAGACAGACAGACAGACAGACAGACAGACAGACAGACAGACAGACAGACAGACAGACAGACAGACAGACAGACAGACAGACAGACAGACAGACAGACAGACAGACAGACAGACAGACAGACAGACAGACAGACAGACAGACAGACAGACAGACAGACAGACAGACAGACAGACAGACAGACAGACAGACAGACAGACAGACAGACAGACAGACAGACAGACAGACAGACAGACAGACAGACAGACAGACAGACAGACAGACAGACAGACAGACAGA